AAAACTTATTTTTGTTTTGGGGTCATACCTCGCGGTGCTCAGGGGTTATTCCTGGCTCTGCACACAGGAATCGCTCCTGGCAGTGTTTGGGGGACCATATGAGATGCTGGGGATCAAACCCAAATAGGCCATGTGCAAGGCAAACACCTTACCTGCTGTACTACGGCTCCAGCATATTTGTATAGTTTTTGTAACTGCAGAGATGCTCCTACCTGCAGCCATACTTTGGGCCGTGTTCTCGGGGTTCCTCATGGTCCTCAACTGAGTGAGCAACTTCAGCTGAATAGTCAGGTTGGGTGAGGAAACGTGAGCAATGTCCTCAGCTGTTTTTTTTTTCTTTTCCCTTGGTTTTGGGGTCATATTCAGTGGTACTCAGGTTTTACTCTAAGCTCTATGCTCAGGGATCACTCCTGATAGCCTTGTAGGACCATATGCGATACTAGGGATCGAACCCAGGTTGGCTACTGGAAAGGCAAGCACCCTACCTGCTATACTATTACAGGTTACTTTTTTGGGACACAGCCCATCAATGCTCAGGAATATTCCTGGCTCTGTACTCAGGATTTGCTCCCAGTGGTGCTTGGGGGACCATATGGGATGCTAAGGATCAACACTGGTTTGGCTGTGTGCTAGGCAAATGCCCTACCTGCTGCACTATCACTGTGGCCCCAGAGGTTTCCTTGTTAGGGGAGAAAACTGGGAGGCTGAGCACAGCGGCCCAGTCCCACAGCCTGCCAGGGAGGTGACCGACACAGAACTCCCGGGCAGGGCAGCCTTTCCTTTGCTGAAAGTCTGGGGATATGGCTCAGAATCTGGAAACTTCCAATTTCTCACCTGTGAATTTAGAACGAGGCTCCATCTCAGTTTGGGATGATAAGGACCCAAAGTAAGGGTTGGGAGAGGTTTAGCATAGGTCTGGGGTCTATTCATAGTAACTTCTCAATAGACATTTGTCTGGGGACAAATATCCTCCCTTACGGCTACCCTGGGTTAAATGAGGGAAAGGCATAAGCCCCTTTTTTTTTTTTTTGCATTCATCAACTTGGAGCGCTGATGTGCGCCCAACGCCCCCTTCCCTGGCAGCCCCAGAAACCCAAACATCTCTCAGGATACACCATGTGTCCTGGGGAGAAATGTTTGGACTCAGCCCTGACCATCATTATAAACTATAAATATGGGTTTGTGAGCAGGACTTCTTGATCCGCACTCTGGAGCAGCCCTGTAAACAAGGACTGAGTAAGGGGTGCAACCTGGCATCATCCCATCACTCAGGCATGTGTTCCCATCTTGGGAGGGTGGATGTCTGCTTGAGGGTTTGGGTACTGTGTGGCTGCGGGGCCTGACCCACACCACTTCTTTGCATTTGAGTTGGCCAGCTCCCCTGCTGCTCAGTTTGTGGTCAGAGGGAAATCGGGGAGATGGAAGGAAGCAGCAGGTGGGGGTGGACCCAAATCTTCCCTTCCCAGCTGCAGGCAGCATCCTGGGGGCAGCATGTGTGGCTTCAGGAAAAGTTTGGTGGCTGAGTTCCCACTGAGGAAGTGGGGTTCCATTCCAGCCCCAGTCTGGGGCTCTGCCAAGCAGAAGGCTGGAGTGTTTCCAAGAGAAAACCTGCAGAGCCTTTCAGGCACCTCTGGCTGGGTATAATAACAGCAGAAGCCCCAGGCCTGAATTCAGGCAGACCCTCCAGGTCAGACCACCCACCTCTCATCACAAAAATATTAACCACTGCAGGACTTTGAAACAAAAATCAATTCAGGCAACAGTTTTTTTTTTGGGGGGGGGGGTGGGCACACCTGGAGATGCTCAAGGATTACTTCTGTCTCTGACACTCCTGATGGTGCCCAGGGGACCATATGGGTGGCAGGGATTGAACCGGAGGCAGCACTATGCAAGGCAAATGTATCTGCTGTACTATCTCAGGTCCCGCATGCAACAATTACTAAACGCCTTGAGTGCCTTGGTGAATCAGGCCTTTAATGTCCAGAGCTGCTTGTAACAATATCTTGTCTTCTGAATTTATCTACAGGAAAGAGGGTAGGAGGATCCCAATTCTTGCAGACCTTAATGCATCCCCCAACGGCTGACCTGCCATATGTAGCCAGGGACAGGCTGAGAACCGCTTCCTGTCTCTCTCTAGGCTGGGAAACTGGGAGAGCATAGCCAAAGGGCATGGCTTGCACCCTATACACATACTTGCCCTGGGAATTTCAGTATGGTGTAAATGTTTTTCTTGTTCCATGTTGTGTTCATGTTATATCATCCTTGTGTCTCTGAATTTAATGGTTCTTGGCAGGCTCAACCTCCAATTCTTCAGTCCACCAGAGGAGATGCACAATGTATAAAAAGATGAATGAAATCCTCTGGTATAAAACAGACCTTGAGTTGCTATATGATTAAAATAATTTTAGGAGGGCTGGAACAATAGAAGAGAGGGTAGGGCAATTGCCTTGCACGCGGCCAGCCCAGGTGTGACCCCTAGCACCTCATATGGTCCCCTGAGCACTGCCAGGAGTAATTCCTGAGCATCGCCAGGTGTAATGCAAAAAGCAATAAATAAATATTTTAGGATTTAAAAAAAGAAGACGTAGGGGTTACTGAGATAGTATGGTGGGTAGGGCATTTGCCTTGCACACGGCTGACCCAGGTTTGATTCCCAAATGTTCCCCTGAGCACCTCCAGGAATAATTCTTGAGCACAAAGCCAGGAGTAACCCCTGAGACTCACCAGTGTAACCACACATACACACACAAAGAGGCCACAGAGTGTGTGATCTCTTCTCTCCCATGGAGACTTTAAAGGCCCCTGAGATAAGTTAGGAAATTTCCTCCATAATTTCCATGTCTTTTTCTAGGGGGTGCGGAAGTGTGGTGATGCTATTCCAGGCTTTGAATAAGTCAGGAGAACAAGTCACTCCTGGCAGTGCTCAGGGAACTCTGCAGCGCTGGGGATCAAGCTGGGTCTTCCTGCACAAAGTATGTACTCAGCTGGGCTCGCTCTCCAGCCTCAACTAATCATTCAATAGGGGAGAGAAAGTTTAAGCAACTATAATTATATCTGATTTGCTATTTGGCCTTTCCTCTTTAAATTCCTTTGGGGAGCCACACCCAGCAGTGCTCAGGGATTACTCCTGGTTCTGTGCTCAGGGATCACTCACTCCTGGCAGTGTTTGGGGGATTGTAGTGGTCCTGGGGATTGAACTGTGGTTGGCCAAGCACAAGGCGAGAATCTTAACTTCTGTACTGTATCTCCAGCCCCATTCTCTTTTTTTGTGATAGCTTTTATGGTGCTGGGGGTTGAACCCAGGGCCTCAGACTTACAAGTAGTATACTAATGAGTCACAGCACATTTTCAGATCTCTGCATTGAACCCCAGCCTGGTTAGCTGAGAATCACCGTTGGGGTCCCCAGACCTCCTGATCACCACTTGGGAGTCCCCTCCAAAGAGAAAGTTGTTTGAGGGTTGGGGAGATGGCTCAAAGGGCTCAACTAACAAGAAACAGTTCGGTAAATCCTCAGTAACTTTAATAACACCATTATGAGATATAATAATTTTCACAAATCTTTTTTTACTGAACAATTTTTTTGGTAAGTCTATTTGCCATTTTGTTGTAACAAGCAATATAAAACAAATTACTTTGTGCCTGCTAAGGATGGTACTGGGGACCGTGGTGGAGGGAGGTTGCCCTGCTGGTGGGATTGGTGCTAAATGCTTGAAACATTCAATGGCCAAAGCTTGTGGTTTAAAGTTGTTCATAATACCTGTTTAAATAAAATTAAAGGAAAAAAAGATATGCAAACAACTTAGAATGTCCAATGACTAGAACATATACAGAAGTTGTATATATACACAATGTTATACTCCGCAGCTGTAAGAAAAGATTTATCGTGCTGTTTGCTGCAAGGCGGATGGAACTGGGGGCATCCTGTTAAAGGAAATAATTATTGTCAAAGGGAGGAGACAAATCCCAGGTGATCTCACTCATCTGTGATATATACAAAAACAGAACATGGGCATACATAGTATTAAATCAAGACAAACCCTGGGTTTTGGATTACAAAACTGAGATGCCAAGCAGCTGTGAGAGGGGGAAGGGAAAAAGTGGACCAAAGGCGATGAAAGGTCAGTGGAGTCTAAGGCACTTTGGCTGTAGTGAGGTAACAGTAAATTTTGTATACCAAAATGATAAACAGTAACACTATTGTAACCATATAAACATTAAACGATTGTAACCATATGGCCTAAACCACAATCAACATTTAAGATTTGATTTAAAAATTATGCCTTGGGCCAGAGCAATATACAGTGTGTAAGGCACTTGCACATGGCTGACCAGGGTTTGCTGCCCGGCATCCCATATGATCCCCAGAGTTCCTGAGTAGAGTCAGGACTAAGTCCCAAACACTGCCAGATTACCCCCCAAACAAAACCATATTTAAAAAGCCTTTACTAGAGTTGTGCAGCCACAGTTGGAGAGCTCATTAACTCATCACTGTTTTCACCCTAGAGTCTTCTGGACACCCCAACAGGAAGTCGATGTTAATTTCCAGACAGGAAGTCATCCACAGCTCCACCAGCAACAGCTCCACCAATCACCAATGAGGTCTGCAGTCTAGTCATCACTACTGTGAACTCTCTTCCCAAGAGCTCCTTTCAGAACTGCACCCCTTGCCCTCCCTCTGTAAAAGCAGTTCACTACTCTTTGGATTTCCAAAATCAATACATAGCATGCTCTTCAGAAGTTGCAATTCTGTTCTTAGTAAATAAACCTATTTTTTTTTTTTTTTGGTTTTTTGGGTCACATCCAGCAATGCTCAGGGGTTACTCCTAGCTCTGCACTCATGCACTCAAGAAATTACTCCTGGTAGTGCTGGGACCGTATGGGACATCAGGGTTCAAACCTGGGTTGGCTGTGTGCAAGGCAAATACCCTATGCACTGTACTACCACTCTGGCCCCTAAACCCACCTCTTCTGAAAAGAAAGCAAACTTTGCACAGTTAGCTGGATTCATGCAGTCTTTATTCATCTGATAAATACAGGAAAATCAGCAATCATCTATCAAAATTATCTTACCAAGAATTTGAAAGGTATTTAAAAAAGATGTATTCACAGTCTGTCTGAGTCATGTACAGAGCAATGTCTGTAGAAGTAAAAGCCAGACAATGGACATGAGAATAAATGATTCCAATGTGGCCCATGTCCCAGCACCTCCAATCATATGTAAACAAGTTCAGCCTTCAGTCACTACTCTAGACCAGGGTTTCTCAACCTCTTGCACCATATTCCCATCCTGTGACCAGCCCACCCACATCATACCAGTTGGTCCCTAGTCTCACGCTGTGCCCCTCCACCCGGTTCATGCAATTCTCACCTGTGGCCCACTGGAACTTTCTGGTGGAGAAACACTGCTCTGAATAGTTCATTTGGAAGCTTCCCTGCTGAAACGATTATTGAAAAGGAAAGGTGCTTTCCGGGGGACCCCCTTACTGCTGCACAGACCAGGCTGACACCCACAGTTCCCTGCCGGAGCCTGAGGAAGACTCAAAGGCTAGCTCAGGCAACGCAGGCGGCCAGACTGGGAAAAGTCTTCAGATATTTGAACATTCTAAGAAGAGAGTTTGGTTCTGAACCCCTTTTGAATTTATACATCGGAGGCATTTCCTACCAGAGAAGAGGACAAAGGTGACAGCCTGGCTGGTACTCTTGATTTGGCAATTTCACTGAAGGTTCTAAAAAGCTAAAGTTGCCATTTTAAGTATGCTTGGGGACTTGAAAAAGGATCACAAGGGTCACTTTTGGGCTCAGTTATGATGTACTGTTTTTCAGGGCAAAATCAGAAGTCCCAATTTTCCCAGTCTTGGTTCACACTGATTGGGGTACCTTTAGAGGTGGGCGTTATCTGCAGGCCAGATTATTATTTTTAAACACTTGTTGTGGTATGGAACAAAGCAAGGAGTCTGGAGGGACTGGGAATGGCTGACCTCAGCTTCCCTTCACTGGGGAGGGTCACCAGAGATCCAAGAACGTTTACCATCTCCCGCCAGGAAACCCGGTCAGGCAGAAGGCCCCAGAATGGGATGGTGTGGACTGTGGGAAGAGGGAGCCATTAAATGCAAAGGCTTCTGCTGGAGAGGAAAGCCATGATGGTGCTCTAGTATATCCTGTACTCCTTGCACTGATGAAGATGAACTTGGCCCAGGCTGAAACCTCTAAGGAGACACAGGTTCACAGAGATGAAAGCGTTGTAGCTCACTTTCTCACAAAGGTTGTCTGTGAACATTCTCAAAATATTTCTCCACAAAGGGAAATGTTCTCACTGAGGATGCCACAGGTGGGTAGTTGGGCCTACAGCACAGCAGTGATGCCACCATTTAGGATCACCTAAATGTCAGCAGGTGGAAAAACAGTGAGTGGAAGGCCTGATTGGCCATGAGGCGGGACAAGCAAGCTGGGCTTGGGCAAGTCTGCTCTTTATGGACTATTCAAAAGCAAATTCAGAGAGAAAGCTGTATGCTAAAGGGTCGGTTTCTAGAAAAAGGAAGTCATCACTGGATCCGTGTTAAAGCTCTCCATAAAGTTAACAGTAAAAAGGAGTTATTGTTAAGTATGCAATAATTTAGAGCCGTTAAAGATGGCTTACACCTGGAAACAGGAGATCACAGCTGCATTCTGGGGATATATATTTTTCTCTTTTGGGTGCGAGTGTTGGGGACTACTTCCAAAGCAGTGCTTGGGGGGACCACAAGGAGCCAGGGATCAAGCCCAGGCCGCTGCATGCAAAGCAAGCACTCCAACCCTTGGAGTCATTTCCCCAGTCCCTGGGAATGTATCTAGTTCATCTTTGCATTTTCATTAAAAAAATATTTTTGGTTTGTGAGCCATACCTGGTGGTGTAGCTGGAGTTGGGGCACGGGGGGGTCACTCTGGGCAGTGCTCAGAGGGCCATGTAGTGCTGGGGATTGACTCTGCTCTTCCTGAATGGACTCAGTTTATGAAATCATTTCTTCAATCCTAATTTTTTTATTTCTAGATCTTGGCACCCTGACCGGAACATGGAAAGAGTAAATAAATCTTTTTTGTAGTGGTTTCTGAGCACTTTTTCTTTCAAGGATAGATCATAAATTTATCATAAATCTATCACAGCCAAGCGCAGGGGTTGGGATCAGTGATCTTCCGAGGCTTCAGACCTGGGGAACTCTTATAGGGTGGCTGACATTCTACGAGTGCCATGGAGATTACCCGGACAAAGTTGCTTGAGGCAAGTAGAAGGAAATGTACTAAATATATTATTTGTTTGGGCACCTTCTTAAACCAGAAGAATCTCTGTAGTCAGTGTGCCTTTGTGAAGTTGATAAATTGCTTACATGTTTTCTTCCATGTTACTTAAACAAGTTTTCCCCCACCCCTCCATCAAGGAATTTAGGAATTTACAGTGAAAGCTGTGATCCTAGACCACACACTAGGGAGAAGCGGAAACAGGAAAGAGCACTTCATCTCGGAAAAAGATTTACCATTCTTCCCACATGGTGGGTATTTACAGAGAGAAACATAGCAGCAGTCTGTGAGAAGACTCCTCGTTCAGCAGGCCCTAAGACCTGACATCTGTGGCTCCTTTTCTGTTTCTCTGCCTACTAGTTCTATTTTGCTGTTTTGTTTCTTTTCTTAAGCAGTATGGCTTAGCTAATCATGCTGGATCAGTTGTTTTGCCTGGCCCATGCACAGTCTCTGTGGGATTCTTACTGTCTCCTCTGTGGACATTTTTCAAAGTGGAGGAGTAGCATTCTTTTATTTCAGGAAAAAATGAATTGGTTCAAACGGAATGTCTGAAAGAAAAGGTCTGCATCTAAGACTGTGGCTTCAGAAAAATGTTTTATCCCAATGCCAAGAGGTGCTTCCAACTTGTAGAAAAACGAGAGATTTATTGCAAACGGTCTATACGGAGCTACAGTACACAGGGTGGATTCAAACATGCTCACGCATACACATACTTCATCTGGGGTGAGCCTTTCATGAGAGAAAGCACATCTGGACTTTGGAAAAAATCAGCTGCCCTAGATTAGGACTCTCCCAACACTGCTTCCAATCACAAGTCTGTTCCAGTGGTTGCTGAACTCTGCCTTTCCAGAAGGTAATATTCACAGTGCCTTAAGGCTGAGAGGATAAAAAAGAAACTGAAAATGTAGGGGTGGGGAGAAGGGGTGTGTGTGTGGGGGTGGGGGGGACCAGGGATAAGAGAGTCTACAGCTCTAACACTCGCTGCAAAGCTCTTCTTCAAGTTCCAACGACCCAGTAAGAACCAGCAATTACTTCTACTCAGTACAACACACTACTTTTTAAGTTAGTTTATCTGAAACACTCATCAGAAGCCAAGGTGAACCCCAAGTGAGATCCCAGATAGGCCGGGAGAAAATGTCAGGAAAAAGGAAAGGCTGCTCTTTGTTTAGTCACAGAAGGAGATGACTGATCCCCTGGCTTGGGTAAGGAAAGGCTCTATTTAGAGGTGTCCTGGGCCCAGGACTCCGATAGGCACAACGCCTGTCTATGGGGTCAAACATCACTACCCAACTCACATAACCAAAGGGAAACCCTAAAAACCCCAATCAGAAAATGATTTTAGTAGATAAGTGAATCTCCTCCTTAGTACTTGCTAGGGAACAGCAGCTCATTCGCCCTGCGGACTGCCAGAGGCCTCTTCTTGGTTCTCCTGGCAGCTGGTCCTCCTGACTCCAGATTCTCCCATGGCTCACAAGTGAAATGCTGGTTTCCTTTAGACTCCTGTTTTGGACTGACACAAATGGTCTGTACATTTTACAGACTACCAGTTTGGGGCTGATGGTTCAAATTCTGACCTGCTATTAAGAAATAGGTGACTGTAGTGAACAAAAAGAAAAACGAGGACAGAAAGTGCTTCACCAGCCATTTTACTCTTCTTTAATTCTACTCTCTTTGGGCACACATTGTACTTGTGATCAAAAAAAAAAAAAAATTAGGTCAGCAAGGCTGACAGTACTGATTCATAGCACATTCTTTGCACCACACGAAGAGCAAAATCCTAGAGTAACTGGGTCATTTGCTCCCACAGTGAGCTGTCTTATTTGCCTCAGAACTGTGTATGGGAGAAGTGAAGTGGAAGAGGACAAGAAGAGGCATCTGGGGAAGTGACTGGACAAGTATGTTGGAAAATTAGGAATTTGGTGGAAAACCCCAAAATTACCTAAATAAAAGTAGGAAATTGCTGAGTAGTAGTCCCATTATTTCCAGAAATTACTGAATTTTGGAACCTAAGGTTAAGACTTTTAAGATAAAGCAACTTCAAAAAGTTCAGACTGGCCTTGGGCAGAATTGGCAACCATCAATGGCAATGAGTTTCAGTGCTTGAGAACAAAAATCACCAAAACCAACCTACACATCTGACTTGACTCAGGTGAAAACAAGTCTCATTTAAAAAGAAGTTCAGGAAAAAAAAAAAGAGAAGAGTGTGACATGAACATTTTGCTCCACCTTTTCATTTTGCTGTTATTGCTTGCTCTCCCTATAGTACCTCTTGAAAAGGGTCGGAATCCCATAAAGATTTATTAGGTTGCTTTTCACTGTGGAGTTTATGATGAAGAATTCTGTTTGGCTGAAATCACTTCATCTACCTCTTGGTAATGGCATCCTGAGAGGCTGCAGCAGTGGCAAAATTCCCCTGCCACCAAAGGTCAAACTGCCAGCAGGAGCACAGCCAACGTCTGGGCCCATCACTTTTCCTTGTCATTGTCCCTCAAATCAGGAATTTTGCACCAAGGGACTCATTTCCACCAAGATGTCACCATGATGAATGTTCATAACCATTTTCTGTAGACACTTCCTTCTAATGCCCCGGAGTATAGACGGTCAGGAAGACTTGAAAGGAAGCTGCAAAAGTCCAGCCGGGAATCTTGACTTTGATGTGGACACAGGAAAACCACCTTGTCCTCCCCAGATTTTATTATAGTCAAAGGAGAAAAATCCATGGGATTCTAATTGCATATATGCTAGATATAAAACTGATGGAATGCTAATTGGTCCATAAAGGGCTGTACAAGATAATCTGTGGCAAAGTAGAAAACAAGCCCAAAGGTAATAGAGATGGGAAGAGCTGGCAATGCTTTCTTGAAAATGGCCAGGAGTAATAATGTAAGGCACAGACCCTGTGGAGAAGAGGGAAAACACAAACGCATGTAAAATTATCAAAGCATTTTATGCAAAGGAACTCAGTCACAAGCCTGGGCTTTGATTCTGAACATTAAATACTATACCCTGAGATCAAATTCTATAACAAGCGTTATTAAATCTGGGGGGGAAAAGTCATTAAAAAAATGTAGTGACTAGACAAAAAGGGAACCTATTTTACTTTGCAAGATAAGAGCTTGTAACACATTATAGCATCACCTAATTTTAAGTAAGGACTAAAGGTAAAGGTAAAGGTAAAGGCCCTCCTGTTGATCATCGATTTGCTTGAGCGGGCCCAGTAACGTCTCCATTGTGAGACTTTGTTGTTACTGTGTCTGGCATATCGAATACGTCACGGGGAGCTTGCCAGGCTCTGCTGTGCGGGCGAGATACTCTCGGTAGCTTGCCGGGCTCTCCGAGAGGGGCGGAGGAATCGAACTTGGGTCGGCCATGTTGGCTGCGTGCAAGGCAAACGCCCTACCGCTGTGCTATCGCTCCAGCCCGTAAGGACTGGTACCCGGAATTAAGTATAACTCCTTTTGAGCGCCAAAGAGATAGTACAGGGGTTAAGGCACTGGGGGGGTTGCATAAAGCTGACCCCTCCAGTTCAATTCCTGGCACTGCACAGTCTCTGGCACCATCAGGAATGATCCCTAAGCACAATGAGGAGCAGTCTCCAATCACCATCAGGTGTGTCTCCCAAACAAATGAACAATAACCCTTAAAAAAATTAAGTATTTAACTGAAATTCCTATCTCAAATATTAACTGGCTGTCCTATTTTCTGTTTGGCAGGCTGTAATTCTTGCAGAGAAGAACAATCTTTATATTTTGTGGAAGTAAAGAAATGCTCACAGGATAAACTGACAACATGTTTTTGTGACTGATGCCAAAGATTGAACTCAGGGCCTCACATATTTAAGACAAGTTGTGATACGACTGAGTTGTCCTATCCCTGGCCAATTATAGTCCATTTTTTACTATATTTAGTAAGACGCTACCTATAGTCTGGAGGAAGAGCATCAAAAATGTAAGGTTTTTTTTTCTCCCTTAAAAAATACACCAATCATTCTGTGACTGAAATCTTCAGACTTTCTTGGAGTTGGGATGCACTACCTCCCCCCATTTCCCTATATTCCCGGAAGCCTTCTCAGTCACCTCCACAAAGCAACTCCAGCACTACCATGTAAGCTCTTCTACCGGCCTTGCTCCAGAAATCCATAAATCAATTTTAAAAGAGATCAAGAGAGGCTGTTAATCTTGGGCCTGCACAGAGCTCAACAGACTTGGGTAGATTGGAACAGATTGGGGCAGGTTAGCCTGGTACAAACAGCTGCCCAAACAGAGCCCCCGGCAGCCACTTGCTCCCACAACCCAAAATGCCATACCCTCGGCTGTACTCTACCATCTTAGGACAGACCTCACTGAGAGAGTAATCTGCTAAAGATCTGGGTATGCGGGCTTTGTGACTGAAATCTCGAGGCTTCTCCCGGGGACAGGATGAGCTACCTTCCCTCACTTCCCTGTACTTCTGGAAGCCCCAGCAGTCATACCCACACCCCAAAGCTGCCACCCAGTTACAAAAGCTACTCCAACTGTATCTTCCTGATAAATACTGAATGCCCTGAACAAACAAAATGATCTCTTGCTACCTGTACTGCAAACCATAATGCAAAAAAGGAGAAAGAGAAAGTAGAAAAGTGCCTGCTACAGAGGCAGGCTGAGCGGGAGGGGGTGTGCGGGGGGAGGGGGACACTGGGGAATGGTGGGAGGGAAATAGGGGATACTGGTGGTGGAAAATGTACACTGGGGAGGGATGGGTGTTGGATCAGTGTGTGACTGAAACTCAATCATGAACAGTTTTGTAATGATCTCATGATGATTCAATAAAAAAATTGAAAAAATGTATTAATTATACAGAGGTAAATATGGAACTAAAAGGCATATAATGGACAGTGTTACTCAAATGGGGAATATTAACTAAGGCAAACAAACTGAAAAAAACAAAAACAAAATCTCACTCGAACTTGATGAATTTATGGTGGTTCCCAGAGAAACCAGGAAAGCAAAGTGGGAAGAGCTGGGAAAGAGGACTTTTTAAGTTGTGAAAAGAACTCTGGAACTTTGCTGGTGGGGGTGCTAAGTTTCACTGCATAACAGAGGTGTTAATACTATACTCCTGAAATTCTATAATATTGTAAACCAATAAAAAGCAGAGAAACAAAATGATACAACACACCAAATCAACCTCAAAAGAGAAAACACAAAATTCTTTTTTTGTTTGTTTTTGTTTGGGGCATACCTGGTGGAAGTCAGGACTTACTCCTGGCTCTGAGCTCAAGATCTCTCCTGGCAGTGCTCAGGGGACCATGTAGGGTGCCAAGGATGGAACCCAGGTCAGTCCCATGCAAGGTAAGAGCCTCACCTGTTCTACTATCTGATACTCTGGCCCTAAGAAAACATAAAATTCTAACTGTTTATTAAGTCATGATAAATCACAAGTATAAACAAAAAGCAAATGTGCAAGAAAAAGTACTTAATGAGCCTCTCATCTAACTTCATTTTCATATTGTATATGAAATGTCTTTAATTCAAAAGAGCAAACGTCTCCATTGTGAGACTTGTTACTGTGTTTGGCATATCGAATACACACGGGTAGCTTTCTAGGCTTTGCCGTGCGGGTGAGATACTCTTGGTAGCTTGCCGGGCTCTCCGAGAGGAGCGGAACAATTGAACCCAGGTTGGCCCGGTCAGCCACATGCAAGGCAAACGCCCTACCTGCTGTGAATTCTGTGAATTGTACTTCCCTTTTTTTTTTGCCAGGACGGGGTGGGTGGGATGGGAGGGGGATGTATTGGGGCCGTATCAAGTGATGCTCAGGGCTTACTCCTGGCTCTATGCCCAGGGATCACCCCTGGAGGCTCAGGGAACCATGCCAGATGCCAGGCACTGAACCTAGGTGGGCCATGTGCAAGGCAAACACTCTATCCTCTGTACTATCACTCTGACCCCTGTACTTGTGTTTCTTGCCTTACCACATACTCGCTGCCCAAAGGAATATGGTGGATTGGTTGCAGGTTTAAAATAAATACACCAATATCATGAAGTTAAGAGGCTCTGCTTATCCCTTTAAGACTGACATAGTACGTCAAATTTCTTATATACTTAAGCTGTCAGGCTAGAACCAGTGGAAGTATTTTACAGTCAGAGGTATTTATCAGAATTTCCTAGGGAACTTGAAAAAACAAACAACAAATCCAAATCAAGTAGGGAATCTCAGGGTAAGTATTTGGCTTTTTTGCTGTTGTTGTCTTGGGGCTGTACCCTGAAGGTACAGCTGACGGGGTAGTGGTGAGATCTTCCTGGCTCTGTGCTCGGGGAACCATGTGGTGCTGTGGGTCAAACCCAGGCCCTAGACCTCATGTGTGCAATGCCTGTGTTTGGCCTGTTGATCTTTCTCCAGACTATGCACTGTTGGTTTGTGAATTCTGTGGTCAGATGAAGCAAGAGCTTCTCAGGTGAGCTCTTGAGCTTTAAAAGCTCTGCAGCTGGAGTCAAAGACAGTACGGCAGGTAAGGCCTTGCACGCAGGCGACCCAGGTTCAATTCCCAGGACTCATGGTTCCCCAAGCACTGTAGTGCTGGTGTGACCCAACATCAAACTCCCATCCCAACAGTCCCCAAACACCCCCCCCCCCCCCCCCGCCAAAAAAAGAAAAAAGTTTTGCAACTGACTAGATCTCTCAGTGCAGATGGGGTTCAAACAGGCTGGGGAAATGGCTCAAAGGACTGGAGTTCCAATGTAGAGTTCTAGGCATGGGTGCCTAAGCATTGCCTGGAGCAACTCCCAAGTAGGCCCTGAGTATGGGAAATGCCTAAACCAGAACAAAATAATAAACAAAAACTCCCTAAACCGAAACAGGACCAGTCTGATGGAGAGTATGGGAGTTCTGACTGGCGTGTGGGCACACGTTTATCTGGTTATACTCACAATTAATATGGCTACGAAACAGGCTATGGTCGTGTTCCAGTCTCCACTGGCTGTTGCGGAAGCTTTGCCAACCAAAACACTGTAGAAAATGAAATCTCCTAATCCAAGTTTTACTCCCCCTAAAAACAAAAGATTACAAACAGAGAGTCACTCTGGGCTCTGCTTTCAAATCCAACAATGTCCTGCCCCACCACACCCTGACCAAGTGAGGTGCCAGTACATGGCAGCATGCAGAGCTCGGCTTAGCGACGTCTCCTCTTTCTTTTCCTGCTTCTGCCCACTAGGCACTTCAGAGTCTTGGTGGCTGACTCTGGGGTCTTAACAGTAAATGCTGCTACAATATACAAAATAATAGGAGCAAATGCCATTTATTGAATGTCTCGTTTATACTTGCCCCTTGTTACAAATCCTTACAAAGCCCCTGTAAAAATAGATACCATCTCTTTAAATGGAAAAAAAGTGCTTTGCTCTGCCCATTCACTCTGCGAGATATGTGCATAGCTCAATGATTATAAATTATGCTTCATGGAGCTAGGCAGCTGTGAGAGCTTGGATTAGAGAAACCATATCTGGAAGGCAGGGGCTGAAGATCCTGAGAAGCCTGGCCAGCTTCACAGGGAGTGAGAAAAAGAACAGTGAGCTGGTTAGTGTATTTTTACTGTTCTGAGATCACTCAATCAGAAGAAAATCTTCCTGATAAACATATAACTGGTGAAATCTGATGCTATGAACTAAGGGTCAATTACCCTTACTACTCGAGCAGCTTCCCAGACTGATGGATATGCTCACCAGTTCAGGTGTGCAACAGGGCTCGGTCCACTATCCAAGCATTTGCGTGATGTAGGGCAAGTTGATCAGCTTCGATCACCCTCAAATTCCTCACCTAAACATGGGGTTTACAGAGCTATTTCACAGGGCTGTTATCAGAGTTAAAAATAACAGAGCCATCATTCTTATAAACATAAAGAATGGATAAATAAGAGTCTTAGAAAGGCTTTTGACTCCAAATATTATGTAGTATAAGAAACGAAACCGAAGTTCTTCAGAAAAAATACAAAGCATAAAAACAATTTTATTTTGAGTTTGGGGACGCGACCCAGTGGTGCTCATGGGCTGCTCCTGGTTCTGAGCTCAGAAGTGACCCTTGGTGGTATTCAAGGTGTAAGTGCTGGAGTCTGCCCCATGATAAGGATGCATTCCAGCCACTGGAGCTATCTCTAGGCTTATACTTGGGTTTTTCTTTAAAGAAAAAAAAACCCAAAAAAAACCAGAAAGGGGGCTGGCATACAGTGGGTATGGCTCTTGCCTGGCACAGAGCCAGCTTGGGTTCTATCCCTGGCATCCCATATGGTCTACCAGGCCTGAGTGCAGAGCCAAGAGTAGCCATTAAGCACTGGTGGATGTGACCCAATCCAATCCCCCCACCCCTTGCAAAAAAACTGATGAAGAAGAGAAGAACATGGACACAGAGATGATAAAGAAAATGCTCGGGGCTGGAGCAATAGCACAGCGAGTAGGGTGTTTGCCTTGCACGCAGCCAACATGGCCAACACAGGTTCGATTCCCAGCACCCCATATGGTCCCCTGAGCACCGCCAGGAGCAACTCCTGAGTGATGAGCCAGGAGTAACCCCTGAGCATCGCCGGGTGTGACCCAAAAAGAAAAAAAAAATGCTCAGGTTTGATAGGCAGAGCCACATTGCAGCTCTGCTCAACAGCCTGCATCCTCCTTTCTTCTGTAACTAGGCATCCCTCAGGAAAGAGCTGACAATCAGGAGACACAACTTAATTGCGGTGGTGACTTTGTAGACACAGAAAACACTAGCCAGGGCAAGCTCAAGCTTGGCTATAAGAGGAAGGTCCAAAGACTATAAATGCTCTAGCACCTGGAAAACTCAGCCAAGCATCAAGGTTATGGATATGCCCAGGATCTGAATCAGTAAAGTTCTGCTTAAGCAGAGAGATAATGTTAAAGACATATATATGACTGACTGCTTAAAGCAGTGAAATAATCTAGGGTGTTTGTTTCTTTAAAACTAGTATATATTTACACTATGTTTTAATTCAAGGCTTTATTTTGTAAAACAGGCAAAACTAAAAGTTAGTTAATTTGGACAATTTGTTAAGCTTATTCAATAGTGACACCATTACACATAAGTGACACATCTTAAGTTGAACTGAAGAGATGCCTGAGCCCTAACCAAGCAGCCCTAGTTAAGTTAGCAAGTCTTACTGGAATCATAATTTTAAAAAGAAGTATTCACTTTATAAAACAAATGCCAAGATAAGGCTGTAGATACAGAATTGGGTCCATGAACATATTTAGCTATGGGGAAAGCACAAACTATTGATATTTCCCATTAGAAGTTATATTATTACTTAGAATCAGACTATTAAACTTCCAATTTATTTTAATTTGGGTGAGTATAATAATGCAGCAACTAATGGGGTCCAATGAATAGAGATGCACATACTTTCCTCTGGGTCCTCACTAGTCAGGATACTGCTGGAAATTTCCTGGGCAGCAGCTCGTGTCTCGGGTGTGCTGCGATGAGGCCCGAGACGACTATCTCTCTGGGCTTCCCACTCCTCACTGAAGCCGCCATCGTCACTCTCTGTCACAGGGTCTTGTGAGTTACCTTCTGAGCCTTTAAGAGAAAATAGAAATTACAAATTTGATATTCAGAAAAATGCCTTCATTCCTTAAGACGTCTACATGAAACAGAACATGAGTGTATTAGGTCTGGCGCAGGGTACAACAGAGCCTAAGGCCTCATACACCAAGACACTTGCTCTACACTGAGACATCTCTCTACTTAGCCCACCCACAATGTAGCTGTCTTTTTTGGGGATTGGAAGGGCATGGTGGGGCGGTTAGACTACACTCAGCAAAGCCCAGGGACTATTCCTGACTCAGTGCTCAGGAGTGATCCCTGGTGGAGTATGGGGGAATCATAAGCGCTGCAAAGATCAAATGGTGAGGTCCTTGAAGGCAAACAACACCTTACTTCCTGACCTATCTTGCAGATGTACAACTGTCATTTTTGGGGGCGACAAGGGGTTCTGGATCTTATCCAGTAATACCTGGAGGATATTCTTAGCTCTGATCTCTGGCCTGACTCTTGGTGGTGCTGGGACTATATGCAGTACCAGGGATTTGAACTGGGGTAGACAGTACGCACAGCAAGTGCTTCACATCCTGCATTGTATCTCCAGCCTGCCTGTGAGTCCTTTAAACTAGGGTATTTGGGTTCTTAAATCACGAATCCTAGATACAGTGGTATGCTAGTTGCTCACACACTATCCATTTTTCCACTTATTTCCTGAGGGCAGAGTCTACCTCTTGCCCGCAAGATTCTGGCATTATATAAACCCCAATCTAGATAATTCCATCATTCCTCTTCCTGGTGAAGACTCCAAGGCTGTATAGGTAATGGTCTCTGGAGGAAAAAAAAAACAAAACATAACAGGGTGGGGCATAGCTTACTCCTGGTGATGCTCAGGAGATATGGGGGTACCAGGAATTGAACCGGGGTTGGCCATGTGCAAAGCAAACAGCCTAACCACTGTACTATCTCTCCGGTCCTGGGAGAAATTGTTTTAGACATAAGGAAAACAAAAACAGCTCCTTCTTATTCTGGAAATCTAGACACTGAACAAACAATACTAGTTTGCACACATCCTAAATCCCTTCCTTAAAATCAGCACGGAGTTTGCCAACAAACAGAATAACAACAGAAAAGGCTCAAACACACAGCTCCACAGACCTTTGCACAGCATATTCTGAGCAGCTTTAATCATGCATTATTGTGCGGCCCAGAGGAGCAAGGAAATAAGGACCAAAATTATAGATAAAGGTGGGAGAGCTGGAGGATGGCAAGACACTGGGCAACAGATAAGATCAATAAGCCACAAAATTAACCAACTCTACACACACTTAAAACTCAGGACTCTGGTTACATAAGAGAACACATTTCTTTGCTTTATAAAGCAACTGATTTGGGTTTTCTGATATTTGTAGCTGAAAACTTCCTAACTCATGGCACTCAGGAGCTTGGGGAATAAATTACTGGATCGTTACTGGAGACAGCAGTAGGCTGGGAAAGCAAAGAGGTGAAGTTTTTTTTTTTAATGGATAGTCACTGTCAACATGATTAAAAATTATAGGCAAAAAGCCAGATCCACTGCATTACTATTCTGGTCCTTGACCTATGGCATACCTTGGCTGCTTTGTTGTGTTTGGAGCATTTACCTCTTTAGGTTTGGGGTCATAAGCCTAAAGTGTTCCCAGGGAAGTGCTTGGGGGCTGTTCAGGGGATCATGTGTTGTTAGGCACTGAGCCTAGGACTCCTGCACACAGCATGGGCTCCAGGTAACTGACTTAGCTCCCTAATCCTGGAGCATTTAAGCTTCTTTTTCTTCTTCTTCTCCTTTTTTGTTTTTTGAGTCCATCTGGCGATGCTCAGGGGTTGCTCAGGGGTTACTCTGGGCTCTGCACTAAAGAATTACTTCTGGCGGTGCTTAGGGGACCATATGGGATGCGGGATGCTGGGGATTTAATCATGGTAGGCTGCATGCAAGGCAAACACCCTACCCACTGTACTACTGCCCTAAGCTTTTATTTTTTTTTAATTTATTGAATCACCATGAGAAAAGTTACAAAGCTTTCAGGTTTAAGTCTCGGTCATACAATGATCAAACACCCCTCCCCTCACCAGTAATTATTTTTCATCACCAAGAACCCCAATATAGCCTCCCCTCCCACTCCTCCCAATGCCTGTGAGGCAGATGATTTTTACTTAACTCTCTCTCTACTTTGATTACATTCATCCTTTCGACAAAAGGTGCACCATTATTGTTTGGAATTTTCCCCAAACAATCAGAACTGCTGAAAAGGCCTTGTGAAATAATTTGTTTTCTATTAGTGGTTATGAAAACCATATGACGTCACGCAGTCACGATTTTGGATTACTGATATTTTACTAATTAAGTCTGAAGGGATTTCTGCCAAGAGCCCGATAATTATGAGATTGGTTTCTGTGCGTCTGGTGCCATGGCCATGCCGGAGAGCCGCTTGTGGGGAGCAACTCATGACCTCAGTTGGGCGTGAAGGACAAGCTGGTTCCACCCCCCTTCCCATGAGGCTGCAGTTGCCCCGTCACCACCAGCTCATATCTGGCTTTCAAATAAACTCCGAGGCAGCTGCCGCCATGCTGCTGGGGGGAGGGGGGGCAGAAGAGACAGACACCCTTTCCTTTCCGGGGGGAGGCATGGCGCCATAGTTTAATGCATAGTCCATTCACAATTCTTTTTTTTTTGTAGACTTACAAATTTTTGTGCTTGGGTTTCAATTTTACAATGATCAAACACCCATCCCTCCACCAGTGCCCATTTTCCACCACCACGGGTCCCAGTATCCCTCCCATCCCCCATCCCCCCGTCCCACTCTGCCTCTGTGGCAGGGTATTCCCTTTCGTTCTCTCTTTTTGGGTGTTGTGGTTTGCAAAAGAGGCATTGAGTGGCAATCATGTTTGGTCTATAGCCTACTTTCAGCATGCTTCTCGCATCCTGGGAGGATCCTCCCAACATGCTTTATTTGGTGCTCCTTTCTCTATCTGAGCTCCCTTTTCCCCTAGAGTGTGTGGCTGGTCTCCAAGCCATGGAGCAAAACTCCTGGTACTAATCTTGGCCACTCTTGGGTGTTAGTCTCCTATTTTGTTACTTTATGTTCCCCAGATGAATGCAATCTCTCTCTGTCTATCCCTCTCTTTCTGACTCATTTCGCTTAGCATGATACTTTCCACGTAGTACCACTTGTATGTAAATTTCATGACTTCATCTTTTCTAACAGCTACATAGTACTCCATTGTGTAGATGTACCAACGTTTCTTTAACCAGTCATCTGTTCTTGGGCACTCAGGTTTTTTCCAGATTCTGACTATTGTAAAGAGTGCTGCAAGTCCATTCACATTTCTGCCACAAGCTGCTGGGCTCTGGATTAAGTCCGTTATCATCCAGCCCTAAGCTTCTTAAATATGTATCTGTTTTTACTTGTATCATCATACTTTACAGAAGCTCTCAAAGAAGTTCATGACAAAAGTGGTTATAATCATTACTTCATAATTCATTGTTAGCTTATGACAATAATCCAAGGCAAGGAATGGTCAAACGAAAGTCACCTACTTTGTGCATTGTGATTGGAGGCTTTGGATACCTTCCTTTGGGCTTCTGGGTCTCCTTCTGCCATATTCACCAACCACACCATTGTTGCTGTTGAGAAAGACAAATATCTAGGTAAGCACTGAAAGCAGAGAAGGAAAGGAAATACACGAAGATAGAGCAGTCCATTATTTTTATACATAAGTAATTGTTTTCAATAGTGGTACTATTTGTGATTCTGAAGTAGTTACTACATCTCACCACCAATGGATGTACCCAAGACCATCCCCCACTGTCCCTGAATTACTTCCAGTCAGCCTTATCACTCCCTTTTGTCTGGCCTCCCTCCCCTTGCTTGGTACGCTCAGTTCTGTAGTTTTAGGCTAAGGGCTTATTATCATTTATTTGTGGGAAAAGCCATTCCTGGCGGTGCTCAGGGTATCACAGTGATGCTTGGGATCAAACCAGGATCAGCCGATGCAGGCAGGTGCCTTATCCCCATCACAACTACTTTATCCATTCATCTGCTATTGGGTATTTGGGTTGTTTGTGTTTCTTGGCTACTGTACCCATCTTTTACCTCTCCCCTGCAAAAAAGTAACAAAAACAAAACAGAAACCTACGAAAGGTCTTAAGCACGGTCAGGAGTGGGCCCTGGGATAGAGAAAGGACTATGACAATGATGGTTGCAAGGGATTACTCTGGATGGGAGATATGTGCTGGGAGTGGGTAAAGGAACAAACATGATCTCTCAGTATCTGTATTGCAAATCATTAATACCCAGAAAGAGGGGGAGAGAGGGAGAGAGGGAAAGGGAGAGAGGGGGAAAGGGGGAGGGAGGGAGAGAGGGAGGAAGGAAGGAAAAGTGTCTGCCATAGAGGTGGGGGGGGAAGGGGTGGCAGGAGGGATACTGGGAATATTGGTGGGGGGAAAGGTGCACTGGAGGAGGGATGGGTGTTGGAACATTGTATGACTGAAACCCAATCATGAAAGCTTTGTATTGGTATATCTCATGGTGATTAAAAAAAAAAGTGATCTATCTGAGCACAGCTAGATGTAGCCTCCCCTCCCCTCCCCCACCCCCCAAATTATAAAAGGTTCTTAGATTTAAACAGATGAAATATTTTGAAGCTGAACACTGACTAGCTTTCAAATTACACCTGCTGTTGAAAAATTGTTCACCATTTACGATCCCTAAAAATCAGCCATAAGGCGAGATACTACAGGGGTTACAGAGTTTGCCTGGCATGCAGCCAAACCCAGTTGAATCAGTGGTACTGCATCTGGTCTCCCGTGCACAGAACCTATGCACCACTAGGTATGGCCCCAAAGACAAAAAAACCCAAAAAACTCAATCAGGTCAGCAAGTTTCATCAAATGAATAGCTGGGTTAAATAATCTAAGATAAGATTATTATAAATAGATTATAAATAGTGTTAATTTGGGGCTGGAGTGGTAATACAGTGGGTAGGGACTTGCCTTGCATGCAAACAACTGGATTTGATCCCCAGTACCCCATATGGTCCTGAGCCTCATCAGGAGTGATCCCTAAGCACAGAGCTAGAAATAAACCCTGAGCACTGTCAGGTGTGGGCCAAAAACAAACAAAAAAGTGTTCCTTTCACTGATGGAATTACTTATTAGAAGCAAAGGACAAACTGGCCCACACATATATATGCATGAGATCAATAAATTTCTGGAATTTTCAATAATGCTAAACTGTCTTGAACACACAGAACAAAAAACATTAAAAGCAACAAACATACAGAATATAGTCACCTGGCCTTGCTTATGTCCCTCTTACAAAAATACAGGTATATCAATGTATCTAAGATAAACCAAAGCATGTCAATCAGTTTCGTTAAGACATGACCAGTTCAAATAGTGCATCATCACACACTGCAAGCAGGATGAGAAATAGAGCTGCCCTTCCCTTCTGGAGGGAAGTTGGAAAACATCTAACAAAACTACACAAGCATTAACCTTTCAACTGAGCAATACCACTTGTGGGAATTTATCCTGAAGATCAACAACAACATCAATAAAAATACATGTAAAAATACATGTGCGGCTCAGGTGCCAGGTCCTTCGTCATGTTGAATTCTCAACCAAGATTATTCCTTAATGGTTGGTTCTCCTGTGATTCTTGTCATGACCTTGTTACATCACATATAACACAGAGCTTCTGGTGATGTTCATTTCTGATATCAACTACTATGAATAAGGAGAAGAAGACACTACAAACATGTTCTCCAGTCACCATCTTGCTGCCATTGCATGACAAATACAACTTATCAACATGCAGCAGAGCTGAACTTTCTGAAATCTTAGGACTATTCAACGGGTTTGGAATGACACACACCCACGTTTAAAACAAAAAGAAGAATGATAGGAGCCATGGTGGTGGCTGGTCCTGGAGGTCTTTGGCTGCCATGCTGAGACCACTCTCCGTACACATGAAGGTACTGGCAGAGGGACAAAGCCACGCGGGTTCCGGGGCCGAGATCTCCAAGCCTACTCTCACTGGGGCCGAGCATCCTCCACCCAGATCCTCCAATTCCAGTAGGCGGGGGTCACACCCACCAACTGGCCCCCTGGCGCCATGTAATCCCATCAACGGCCAAGACTCAGAGACTATAAAAACCAGCTCCCGGAACCGCGCGGCCGCGCGACATCTTATTATGACATCTTATTATCTCATTCCTACTTTGGACAAACTGGCAGGCTACCAAATGCAGCCTGCCCACACGGCAGAGTCTGGCAAACTCCCCGTGGTGTACCCAATATGCCAAATACCAGTAACAATGATGGGTCTCATTCTCCTAAAGAGCCTTGAATAAAATCTCAGGGCTAGGATGAAGGAGACGTTACTGGGGCCTGCTCGAGGCAATCGACGAATAACAGGATGATTTGTGATTTGTGTGTGTGTGTGTGTGTGTGTGTGTGTGTGTGTAAAAATACATGTGAATATGTGCTATATGCAGTTACTACAGAACCAAAACTCCCCAGCAGCCTCCAATCTGGTCAGAGGAAGCAATTTTTTTGTTGTTGTTTTGGGTGGAGGACCACACCAAAGATGCTCAGGACTTACTCTTGGCTTTGCACTCAGGGATCACTCCTGGGGGAACATTTGGGATGCCATGGATTGAACCAGAGTTGGCCACATTCAAGGCAAGCACCCTACCTGCTGTACTATCAGTCCAGCCCCCAAAGTAAGCAATTTTAAACAAGATACTTGGCATCTATGCCTCTCTTGCCTTTTATCACTCATTTTATAGTTATATCCATATATCCATATTGAATACAACTAATCTCTTGGACTTTTTGGATAACTTAGGAAAGACATACACAATAAAGAGGCCAAGACTTCAACAACAGCACCACCACTCAATTCACTAGGTTGTGTAACTCTGAAGTCACACCAGGTTTATAAGATGACAAGCCCACAAAGTGATCAAAGTCAACATGAGCCAGAAAGACAAGGCAAACTAAACCTAAATGCAAAGAAATGGAAGGACAAAACCACGTGCAAGGCTTATGCATTCCTACAGCTTCCTTGAAAAACAAAACCAGCAGGTACATATTCTAATTGTATTCTATGCAAGAACAGAAAAATAAGACCTCTCTAGCTAGAATGACAACCCCCATCTTCTCCATTTGCCACAGTAGCAATACTGAGGTCAGAAGAGTAAGGGTCACTCACAGGTGTGCCCAAACTTTACCTCTATTTTCACTGTCTTCACTATCTTTTCTTCTCTTCTTTCCCCATTCTCATCTAATTCATTTCCCTTAACTCAGAGCAGTTTCTATCTGCTTTGTTGATCTGTCCACTAATTACTTCTTCTTTCCTCTCTAATTCATAGGTTCTTTGCACTGGTTGCTTTCTTTCACCCTTAGAGACAAGATTAAATCTTCTTTCTTTAGAAATGTATTTCTTCTTACCTGCTTTCACCCAGGACCAAGATAAACTTTGAGGTAGTAGCTAATGCTTACAACATCCCTTCTCTACCACTCACCTGCCAAATGCCCACAGCCCCACTTCCATGGTAGCTCCAGCAACAGCAAAATGCAGACTTTCTGTCCTTTTGGATTACTGTTCAGGTCTTATCATTCTTCTAACATGGCTCTCTTAAATTCCAATAAAAATGTCTAGGGCAGGATCTGGAGTAATGGTAGGGGTCTTACAACATCTTCTTCGCAAGTCATGAGCTCAAATCCCTGATGCTCAGGTACACTAAGAGCAGTCTGGCAGCTGTTGTCTACAACCCCAGGCAATGCAAGAGATTTCCAGCCACACCAAAGCCTGGTGTGTCTATGTAAGAGTGATCCCTGAGTGCAGAGCCAGGGATAGAAACCTTACAGCAGAACCTCAGTGAGCGTTCCCATCAGAAGCAATGGGGGTCAGAAGGCAGTGGGTCAACAAGACTTATTCTCAGGTTGGAAAGAACCACCAACTAAGTATCTATGCTGAACAAAACCATCTCTCAAAAAGGACAAATTAAATTGCATAATGGGTTGGAGCGATAGCACAGTGATAGGGTATTTGCCGTCCACATGGCCAACCTGGTCGACCCGAGTTCGATTCCTCCGCCCCTCTTAGAGAGCCCAGCAAGCTACCAAGAGTATCTTGCCCGCACAGCAAAGCCTGGCAAGCTCCCCATGATGTATTCAATATGCCAAACAGTAACAAGTCTCACAATGGAGACATTACTGGGCCCGCTTGAGCAAATCAATGAACAACAGGAGGACAGTGACAGTGACAATTGTTACAGTAGCAGAATTTGGTATATATACCAAAAGTCACTACAGTGTACACTGCAAGAGGGAAGAGGGACTGTCTATGAACTACAGTTCTTTATTGAGCAGGACTTACCTGCAATATATAAATATATAGAATAAGGGCTCATTAACCCTTGACTAATAAATTTTACTTATTTAACTCCAACAATGGCCAGGATCCAGAGATCATCACACTCAGCTCCTGGGAGAGAACAAGACAGAGTCTCCTACCCTATGCCTGACTGTCTCCACCAGGGCCCAACAGCTGAAGACCACCGAGGCCCAGCCAAGGCCATGCTGAGAGCACTCTCCACACACTTGGATGAGCCTCACGCATAAAAGAACTGACAGAGGAACCCAGGTGTGTGGGACCCGGGGCTGAGATCTCCAAGCCTGTACAGTTTGGGACTGGACCTGCCAGTAACTAGACAGTTACACCCACCAACTGCCGTGTAACTCCAACAATGGCCAGGATCCAGAGATCATCACACTCAGCTCCCGGAAGCATCCGCGGCCGCGCGACATCTTATCATCTCATTCCTAATTCGGTCAAACTGGCAGGCTACCAAATGTAACATGCCCACACGGCAGAGTCTGGCAAACTCCCCGTGGTATACCCAATATGCCAAATACCAGTAACAATGATGGGTCTCATTCTCCTAACTCTGAAAAAGCCTTGAATATGGCACTTTAAAAAAAAAAAAAATCTCAGGGCTAGGACGAAGAAGACGTTACTGGCACCTGCTCGAGGCAATCGACGAACAACAGGGTGGTCGTGATCGTGATCGTGAATTCTACTTATATATTTATCATAGGAACCATGATTTATAAAGCTTTCCATAATGGAGTTTTCAGGCATTCAATGTTCCATCTTCAAACCCATCACCAGTGTCAGGGTCCCTCCATCAATGACCCAAGGTTCCCTTCCTCTCTCCTCCCTACTTCCTAAGCAAAAACTGCTTTTTCTTTTTTTTTGGGGGGGGGGGGTGGTGGGGGAGTGGCACACCAGTGATGCTCAGGGCTTACTCTAGGCTCTGCACTCAGAAATCATTCCTGGGATGTGATGGGATGCCAGGAATCGGACGCAGTCTGCCACATGGAAGGCAAATGCCTTACCCACTGTGCTAAAGCATGGGCCCACAAATTATCATTTAAAAAAAAAACAACTTTACTACCTCAATATCAGACATGAATCCATAAGGTACATAGAGGAAAATGTAGGCAGAACCCTCCATGACATTGAAACTGAAAGCATCTTTAAGGATGAAACACCACTGACCAAGCAAATGGAAGCAAACATAAACAAATGGAACTACATCAAACTAAGATGCTTCTACACTTCAAAAGAAACAGTGACCAAAATACAGAGAGAGCCCATAGAATGGGAAAGAATATTTACCCAATACACATCTGATAAAGGATTAATATCCAGGATATACAAGACAGAACTGTACAAGAAAAAAAACTCCAACTCCATCAAAAAATGGGGAGAAGAAATGAACAGAAGCTTCCTCAAAAAAGAAATACAAATGGCCAAAAGACCTATGTGATCCACACCATGTGGAAAAGACACATTTCCACACCACTAGTCATCAGAGAGATGCAAATCAAAACAACAATGAGCTATCATCTCACATCACAGAGACTGGCACACATTCAAAAGAACAAAAGCAACCAGTGCTGGCATGGATGTGGGGATAAAGGAATGCTCTTTCACTGTTTGTGGGAATGCCAATTGGTCCAGCCTTTCTAGAAAACAATATGCATAGTCCTTCAAAAACTAGAAATTGAGCTTCCATATGATCCCACAATACCACTTCTGGGAATATATCCCAAAGGTGCAAAAAAGCACAGCAGAAATGACATCTGTACCTATATGTTCATTGCAGCACTGTTCACACTAGCTAAACTCTTGAAAGTGTCCTAGAACAAGTGTCCTAGAACAGATGACTGGTAAAAAAAACTTTGATATACCTACACAATGAAATACTACACAGCTGTTAGGAGAGATGAAATCATGAAATTTGCTTTATTATAAGTGGACAGACACAGAGTATCATGCTAAGTTAAATGAGTCAAAAAAAGAGGGACAGACATAGAAGAACTGCACTCATTTGTGGAGTATAAAATAACATGAGACTGACACCCAAGGACAGTAGATACAGGGCCAGGAAGATTGCTCCATAGTTGGAAGCCTGCCTCATGAGCGGAGGGGAGAAAACAGCTGGAATAGTGAAGGGACCACTAAGAAAATGATGGTTGGAGGAATTGGTCGGGATGCGAGATGTGTGCTGAAAGTAGATAATGGACCAAACATAATAACTTCTCAGTATCTGTGTTTCAAACCATAATGCCCAAGAGTAGAGAGAGAATATGGGAAATACTGTCTGCCATAGAGGCATTGGGAGGGTGGGAAAGTGGGGGTATACCGGGGATATTGGTGGTGGGAATGTGTACTAGTGGAGGGATGGGTGTTTGATCATTGTGACTGTAACTCAAACATGAAAGCTTGTAACTATCTCACAGTGATTCAATAAAAAAAAAAAAAAAAACTTTACTTATTATAGTTTGGGTCACATGTTATTATATAACAAGTGTTGATTCTTATGGGTTTTTTCTTTTTTTTGCTTTTTGGGTCACACCCGGCGATGCTCAGGGGTTACTCCTGGCTCATGCACTCAGGAATTGCTCCTGATGATGCTCGGGGGACCATATGGGATGCTGGGAATTGAACCTGTGTTGGCCATGTTGGCTGTGTGCAAGGCAAACGCCTTACCTGCTGTGCTATCGCTCCAGCCCAATTCTTATGGTTTTGATGTACATAGTAACCTCATTTCTAAACCACCAAAATCTCTAAGACCCTGGATCAATGTCTTTACATTATAGGATCCAACATATGTTGTATACATTATACAATCCAACAAATAAGATTTTCATGAGAATACTGGCTTCCCATCTTTAAAAATTTCTTCCATTTCTACTCATACTGAAAACTCTCTTAAGTTCTCAGGTAGAAGATAATAGTTTTGCACTTAAACAGAGATCTATAGAAAGTCCATTAATGCTTCTGGGTAAAATACTATGATAGAGGCATAATTACACAAATTTGAGTTCCTAACAATTTTAAGATTACTTATCTATTATCATTTTGATATACTTACAGGAGTAAATAAGGGCTGGAAACAGAGTTTCATTCCTCTCCTGAGCTGTTTCAACCAGCATTCGAAGTGGGCCTTTTGGACACAAAACAGCCACTAAATCTAGAAAGAGAAAAGAAAAACTTTTATTCACCCAAAATATAGTCTAAACTTGTAAAAGAGTGTGTTTGAGAGGAAATTTGCTTCTACCTCTTCCTCTTTCTTCTCCTCTCTACTAACTATGGGGCCAGGCTGGCTCTTCAAACCCGGGTTCTTCCTTAAACACACATCTCATCTGCTTGTCTATGTTTCTTTGCTTGCTTATTTCCACTCAGGAGAAGTCTGTGTTCTCTCCTGAACACACATTTCCCCTCTTTCTCTCTGCTCACATCTTTCTAGGCAAGTTTTACTCAATAAAAACTACCTCACCGCCCTCTCCTCTCTGGAAAGAAAGATGGCGGCCACATGGGAGCCTTGTGGACAGCAGGCATGAGCCGGGGGAGTGGGGGCGACTAAAACCTCATGGGAAGGGGGGCGTTTTGGTCCGCCCTTCACACCCTACCGAGGCCACCAGTTGCCCCCCACGAGCGGCTCTCCAGCACGGCCACGACTCCAGAGCACAGAAACCAATTTCTTAACTATCTGACTTTCAGTAGAAATACTTCCAGGGTCAATAAGTAAAATAGCAGAAATCCAAAACCAACATATAATTCTTGAACCCAGCTGTAGAAAGCAAATCACTTCACAATGCTTTTTCAGCATGTCTGATTTGGGGGGGGGGGGGGGTAAACTCTAAATAATAGTGGTGAATCTTTTATTGAAACAATGAATCTAATCAAAGCAGATAGAGTGTTAACTAGAATTCATCTGCCCCACAGGGACTGAGAGGGGTGGGGGGTTGGGTTTTATTGGGGTTCTTCATGGTAAAAAATAAGTTTTGGTAAAGGGAAATGTGTTTGATATTTGCATGACTGAGACCTAAACCTGAAAGCTTTGTAACCTTTCCCACGGTGATTCAATAAATAAATTAATTAATTAAAAAAAATTTTAAAAAAATTAAAAAAAAATAAAAACTACCTCAGGGGCCGGAGCGATAGCACAGTGGGTAGTGCATTTGCCTTGCACGTGGCCGACCCAGGTTCGATCCCCAGCATCCCATATGGTCCCCCAAGCACCGCCAGGAGTAATTCCTGAGTGCAAAAGCCAGGAGTAACCCCTGAGCATTGCTGGGTGTGACCCAAAAAGCAAAATAAACAAATAAATATTAAATTAAAAAAAATCTACCTCCTTGTTTCACTGAAAAAACTAACCATATATACATACAAACATAAATTCATACACACACAGATATTGATGACCAGAGATAATATAGTGGTTAAGACACTTGTTTTGCAAATGGCCAAGTCAGGTTTGATCCCAGAAACCATCTATAGTTCTCTGAGCATCACCAGGAGTGATCAAACCAGGAATAAGTAAGCCCTGAACACCACTGGGTATGCCTTCCTGCAAAAGTCCCCCAGCCAATAAAACCCCATATTTTTCAAGTGTAAAAATTTTAATAACAAAACCAAATAATGAATGCTTCCTACAGACCTGGGATATGGCTCAAGTACTAGAGCAAATGTTTTGCATGCATGAAGCACTAGGTATTATTACTGGCACAAATGTCCCTACCCCACCAGGTATCACCATTACAAAAAAACATAGAAATTTCAGGGGGTATGGTGCCACCAGTAGATCAACCTGTACCTGCGGGGTGAGTGCATCAGCAGCCTGATGGAGCCTTCAGGCTTCCTGATACTCCAAAATTGCTGCTGTGCCTTTGGCTAGATCCCAACAACTTGGGACCAAGTTTACCAAGATATTAAATGGCAAAAATTAGGTATGTGGGAGATACACACACACAAACCACCTCTGCCTCAGCTATACAAGCTCATTTACTGGCCTTGCTTCAGAGACCCATAGATAAACCTCGAAAGAGATCAAAAGTCGCAGTTAATCTTGGACCCGCACATGGCTGAACAGACCAGGGCAAATTGGAGGGGGGTGGTTGGTCTGGTGGCCCACCCAAGCAAAGCCCCTGCCAGCTGCTTGCTTCCACAATCCAAAATCCCTGCCATACCCCTGTCCTGACTCCAACATCTCAGGATGGATCTCACCAAGACAAAGTCTGTTGAAAATTTTGGTTTGTGGGTTTTGAGACTAAAATCTCCAGGCTTTCTCAGAATTGGGATGGGCTACCTCCCCCCACTTTCCAATATTCATGGAAACACTGGCAGTTACCTCCAGGAATCAACTCCAGCACCACCCTGTAAGCTCTACTACCAGCTTTGCTTCAGAGACCCATAAATAAATCTCAAAAGAGATCAAAAGCCACAGTTAGGGGCTGGAGCGATAGCACAGCAGGCAGGGCATTTGCTTTGCATGGGGCTGACCCAGGTTTGATTCCCAGTATCCCATATGGTCCCCCTAGCACCGACAGAAGTAATTCCTGAGTGCAGATCCAGGAGTGACCCCAGTGCATTGCTGGGTGAGACCCCAAAATTAAAAAGATTAAAAAAATTTAAAAAAAGAAAGAAAAGCTGCAGTTAATCTCAGACCTGCACCTGAACAGACCAGGATAAATCGGAGGGGGGTAGGTTGGTCTGGTGGCCCACTCAAGCAGAGCCCTCTGCAGCTGCTTGCTTCCACAATCCAAAATCGCTTCCAGACCCTCGGCCTGACTCCACCGTCTCAGGTCAGATCTCAACAAGATATAATCTGTTGAAAAATCCTGGTATGTGGGTTTAGTGACTGAAATCTCCAGGCTTTCTAAGAATTAAGGTGGGCTACGTCCCCCCACCTCCCTACTTCCAGAAGCCTCGGCAGTCACATCCACACCCCAAAGCTGCCACCCAATTGAAAAGTTCCTTTTAGTCTTACTGTCCTGATAAAAATACCAAATGCCCTGAACAAACATCATGACCTCTTAGCATCTGTATTGCAAACCACAATGCACAACAGGAAAAGGAGAGAGAGAGCAAGAAGGAAAGTACCTCCCATGAGGGAGGCTGGGGGGTGAGAGGTGGGAACTGGGGGATGGTGGTGGGGAAACGAAGACATTGGTGGTGGGAAATGTACATTGGTGGAGGGATGGGTGCTAGATCACTGTATGACTGAAACCCAATTATGAATACCTTTGTAATGATCTATCTCACAGATATCCAATTTATAAAAAATTTTAAAAAAAGTTACGTGGAGTTCATGCCCAATTCAATCAGCTTGATCAGTGGCTGAATAGAGAGCAGTACTTCTACACTAAAAATATATATATATATAGAAATTTCAAGCTGGAGAAATGGTATTGGGGGTGGGGTGGAGTGGTTAAGGTGTCTTTCTTATCCGCAGCAGACACTGGTTGGATCCCTAGCATTACATGGTAGCCAGAGAGTAATTCAGAGCTATAGGAATTAAGGCACATACCTTGCATGTAACAAACTCTGCTTCAACCTGCAGCTGCTTATGACCCCCAGAGCATCACTGGGTGCAGCCCTGAAGGCCCCAAGCACTGCTTGAATAGCACAGGTAGTCCTTGGCAACGCAGGACCCAAGCAATACTGCATTCTTAGGCCTCAGCGCTGAACTGCCAGTGCTAGTTGGTGTAGAATAGCCAAGGGCGGGAGCAGGCCTCCTAAGTAACACTTGGGAGACCTCAAATTAAGCAATTTATTTTAAAATTAATTTAGGGGGCTGGAGTGATAGTACAGCAGGCAGGGTGCTTGCCATGCACACGGTTGACCTGGGTTTGATCCCCAGCACCCCATATGGACTCTCCTGAACCCTGCCAGGAGTGATCCCTGGGCACAGAGCTAGGAAAAAGCCCTAAGTACTGCTGGGTGTAGCACATAAACTAACAATAAAAGAGCACTCTCTAATGATAACCTAGTAACTTCTCTGAAAATGTCTCGCTTTTTAGTTTTCATGTAGTGAGAGAACTACACAACCTTATAGCTGGTCTTGGTTTTTCCTGGCTAGGATATGGTGAGCTTTTCAGGAGCCTACCTTTTCAGCAGCTGTATTATACTGGGTGTTAATAAATCTGAATCTCACACTGCCCAGTGAAAGTGATTTATTTATCATTTATTTTGAGGCCACACCCAGCAGTGCTCAGTGCTCAGGGGTGCCAGGGACTAAACCTGGGCTCCAGTATCCAAAGCATGTGGTCCAGTTCTTTGGGCTTCTAGCTCTCCAGCCAGGTTTATTTTTAGTATAGTAAAACTAAGATGACTAACAAAAATTAGTAATCTAATTCTGACTAAGAAAATCAAGCATGTTATGCGTTGGGCACTCTACTAGTGCTTTTATCATATCTCTTTTTTTTTGTTTGTCTTGTTTGTTTTGGAGTCCCACCCAGTAGTGCTTAGGGTTTACTCCAGGATCTGAGCTCAAGGGACCACTCTTGGCAGGGCTCAGGGAACCACAATGGGTACGTCAGATGTGGTGCTAGAGATCAAACCCAGTTCAGGTGCATGCAAGGCAAGCAACTGTACTATCTCATACGCACTGTGCTATTACTCCAGCCCCCATATAGTTTTCTTTTTTTGGGGGGGGTGGGGTGGGGTGGGGAGGGTTTGGACCACATCTGGCAATGCTCAGGGCTTACTCCTGGCTCTGTACTCAGAATTACTCCTGGCAGTGCTCAGGGAACCATATGGATGCCGGGGATTGAACCTGAGTAAACCAAGCACAAGGCAATGCCCTACCCTTTGTACTATCACTCAGGCCCCTTATTCTTAACTCTTACAGCTCTAAGAAGTACTTCTCCTATTTTCCAAATGAGGAAACTGAAGCCTGACTATGAAAGAAAACATCCCTAAGACCACAAAGACTATCAGCAGTAGAGAGAGTATTTGAATGTCTTCTGACCAGATGTCTATGGACTTGTCAATTCATTACTGATTTAAACTAGGAGCAGTTCATTCAGAGACTTTAACATCAAAAGATTGGAAATTGTGGGGCCAGAGTGATAGTACAGCAGGTAGGGCAATTACTTTCCATGTGGCTGACTTGGGTTTGATCCCTAGCACCCTATATGGTCCTCAGAGGCTATCAGGAGTGATCTCTGAGCATAGAGCCAGGAGTAAGCCCTAAGCACTGCCTGATATGCCCCCCCCCCCCGCCAAAAAAAAAACAAAAAAACAAAAACTACCAAAAAGATACTATAGAATAAGAAGGAAAACACAACAGTGAACTATTTCTATGATGAACAAAATGTCTTGGGCTTTACCATATACTGAAATCACAGCCAAGATGAGCCATGCGGTCCATTCTGGGAGGTACTTGATGAACACCAGGGCCATGAGGGCACTGATCATGATGAGATACGCCTGCTGCAGTCGCAGTGGCCCTTTCCAGTGGATAGCAATCATTCCCACCACACCGAAATTGAAGATCAGGAGAGCAACAGTAATGTAGTCCATGGCAACATTGTAAGTTTTAAATACTTCCCTAGAAAAAATTAAGAGAGGTACATAAATAGGTGTGTGTACAATGATTTCCATCAAAACACACTTTTACATATGGTAGCCCCAGGTTCAATCCTTAAACCCGCATGGTCTCCAATATCACCAGAAGTGACTCCTATGTGTCAGGTGTGGCTCCCCGCTGCCCCAAAAACAAAAAAATTTAGTAAGTCCTTTACTAAACACTTCTCTCTTACGTATTTTATCTGGTTTTGTTCTGAGGAGACTCCCTAACAGTGCTGGGGGACTATAGGGACATACCCAGCAGTGCCTGGAAGGCCAGTAATCAAACATAGGCCTTGTGAAGCTAAGCATTCACTTCTGCCCTCTGAGCTATCTCATTTCTCCTGTCTTACATTTTTACAGCTCTTTAATTATAAGCAGGGAATATCCCCATCAATAATAATGAAAATATCCCCATCAATAATAATGATAACCCGTGTTATATAAATTATGACCTATATATGAAATTAACTATAATTCAAGAATACTGAATCAACAAAGTTCATGGTTGGAAGTGAGTTGTAGAACCCAAACAGTTAATTTCAGAAAAGCAGACCAAATATTTCACCACTTACCCCAAGTAAATAAATGAGAAAAAGAACAGCAACAACAAAGATGAAATAATTAGCCAGCCATGAATGACCTAGAAAAGAATCATAATTTAATTAATAGAGCCCACACACTTCCATAATAGTCTAATGTTCTGCTTTAAATAATTTGTTTGTTTTGAGGTCACAGCTGGCTGTGCTCAGGGTTTATTTCTAGCTATGCTCAGGGATCATTCCTGGTGGTGTTCAGGGTAACATGTGATGCCAGGGATCCAACACATATCGGCAGCATGCCACCAAAGCAAGTGTCTTACCTGCTAGACCATCTAAAAATTTTAGCCAGGGAGATGGTCTAGCAGGTAAGACATTTCCTTATGTTTTCCAAATGACCAATATTCCACTTATATGGACAAGTTAACTTTTCGCATATGCACAGAATTTGTGGTATTTTCATCTCATCCTCCCCCAATTATAATTTTTCTATACTGCTAATTCTTTGGGAAATGAATGCAAGTTTACGGAATTAAAGTGTTCCAAGCATGTTCTATGTCAATATGCACTAGCTTAGTAACTTCACAAAAAAAGCTAGACTAATCTTTATCAAGTCTGTAAGTACAATAATTGTTTTAATATGTATTTTTTTCACTAGAGGAAATAAATATACATCTTTCTTCTCTTTACTAGTCATCCGTTATTTCCTTAGAGGCTTCTCTGCTTGGGTTTTACAAATTTGGGGGATTGGGTCTTGGGGTCATAGCCTGTAGCGCTCAGGGGAAACCTCGGCATTGTGTTCAGGAGTGAGTCAAACAGAATTCAAGGCCTAAACCCCTGTACTATCTCTCTGGTTTCATTTTTCAAAATTCTTTTTTTGGCTTTTTGGGTCCCACCCAGGGGTTACTCCTGGCTCTGCACTTAGGAACTGCCCCTTGTGCTCTGGAGAACATATGGGATGCCAGGGATTGAAACTAGGTTTGCCATGTGCACCTAGTACAGTCCTACCCACTGTACTATCACTCTAGCCCTTGTTTTTTAAATTTCTTATTTGTATGCTCCTAATTTTTTTTAGTGATTTGCAAGTACCCTTCCTATTATATAAAAAAAAAAAAATCAACTAGCCCTTTGTCTATAATAATGATTGCATAGTTTTTCTCTTCATGTTGGTGACTGACATGATTTTCAGAATTATTTCCTAATGAAAGTCTCTTCAGATATTAAATAGCACACTACCTTTTCTAGAACTTTAGGTGGCGAAATAGGTCTTCCACATTTTCCAAATGCTTTAGCTTGAAGACGGTTGGGAGTAGGGTTTGAACTGGAGGGGTCTTTGGGAACTTGGTAGAGGGAAATGAGTACTTTGGTCACAGGTGAGTTGTTGCAATGATATATGCAAGAAACTATCTTTAGCAGTATTGTAATACTGTCACAGTATATCAATAAATATATTTTTAGTGACAGCCTTTGGGTCACAGCAGTGGTGCTCGGAGTTAAGTCCTGACTCCACCCAGGAATTACTCCTGGCAGAATTGGTGAATGATATGGGATGCCAGGGATTGAACCTGGGTTGGCCACATGCAAGGGAATTGTCCTACCCACTGTACTATCTCTCTAGCCCAATAAATATTTTGTGAAAAATAAAATAAAAAGCTCTAGCCTAGATCAGACTTCCTGTACTAAGATTCTGAAAGAGCTCTACTTTGAACACCAAGTGTCTCCTCTAAATTCTGACAAGGCAGGTCAGAAACATGGAAGCTTGGGGCTAGAGAGACAGTACAGTGGGTAGAGTGCTTGCATTGCATGTGGTCAATACAGGTTTGATCCCTGGCATCCCATGGTCCCTTGAGACCGCCAAGAGTGATCTCTGAAAGCAGAGCCAGGAGTAAGCCCTACACGCCAGGCATGGCCCAAAAATCAAAGGGAAAAAAAATTTATGAGACCTCAATAATTTCCATTTCTACCTTTTAGAGATCTGTTTGGTCTTTTAGTTTTGGCATTGCTCAACAAAAAGACAGCAAGTCCTGAAGATTTATTCCAAACAGGTCCTGGCAAGTTCTTGAATTTCTGACTCAAAAGCTCCTTTTATTTTAACTAGGAGTTAAAGTAAACAACTTACTTCTGTAGAACTGGCTGTGCTTGTTAAGAATTGAACATTAAAAGTATTATTGCTCAGGAACAATTAAGCATGGCTACCTGGCTGAAGATTACCATTTTAGACTATCTTAAGTAGTTTCTTGGGAAAGATGCAAGAAACTAACTGAAACCTATCACGGTAGGTTGGAATAAGGGAGGTGAAGCACAGTCCACCCCCTTTCCTCCCGAAATACAACAATGAAACCCTGAGAGGGTGCATGCAGGGGCTGGTGGGGAATCTAAAAAGTAAAAAGATTGGTGTGCTGGGGAACTACAAGCACCAGAGACCAGCAATGAATTTACCAGTCTCCTCTCTTAAGAAGTTCATAACAGCCTTCTTAACATGACTTTCCTGAGCTGTTTTCTTTTTCTGATCCCCTGTTCTAAGGGAACTACCTGCTCCTTACCATAAGCTCAGGGTAGGAGCATTTATAGAGAGTGACAGTTCCAGAAGCAAGACAAATACAGGACCCTGAGCTACTACAGGGGTTAAGGAACTTGCCTAGTCATGTCTAGGTTTGATGCTGGGACACTGGAGCGGCCCCTGAGCAGAGCCAGAAGCAGCCTTAAGTACTATCGGATGTGACTACAAAATCTAACACCCCCATCCAAAAAAGAAAAAACCTGTCATTTTTTCATTCTCTCATGTCTAGTCAGCAAACAATTCTGTGGTGATGATAATGGGATAATGGTGAGGACAGGAGCCTAATATTCAATGACTTCCTCTCTGGCTGGAGGAGCTCTATTTCTTGGCTAATGAGGCAAATGGCTCTAGCTTACTTCTCTGAGCTCCCATTCCTTGACTCTGATGCTGGGAAAATAAAGGTCAGTCTTCTTTTTGCTTTTTGGGTCACACCCGGCGATGCATAGGGGTTACTCCTGGCTCTTCACTCAGGAATTACTCCCAGCAGTGCTGGGGGGACCATATGGGATGCTGGGAATCGAACCTCGGTCAGCCACATGCAAAGCAAACGCCCTACCTGCTGTGCTATCACTCCAGCCCCAAGGTCAGTCTCCTTATTGGAGGAAACAGAGGAGTCCAAAAGAACCAGAAAGGAGCAGGGGATCAGAAAAAGAAAACAGCTCAGGAAAGTCACGTTAAGAAGGCTGTTATGAACTTATGTGCCCCAAGTTGTGCAAGTGTGGCTATCACCCTGAATAGTAAAGTAAAGTAAAAGTAAAGGCTCTCCCGTTGATCATCGATTTGCTCGAGCGGGCCCAGTAACGTCTCCATTGGAGACTTTGTTGTTACTGTGTCTGGCATATTGAATACTCTCGGTAGCTTGCCGGGCTCTCCGAGAGGGGTGGAGGAATAGAACTCAGGTCGGCCATGTTGGCTACGTGCAAGGCAAACGCCCTACCCGCTGTGCTATCACCCTGAATAAGGGGCATATAATCCAGTTTAAAATCACAAAGTAAGTCCAATAAAGCACAAAAAGAACTAGGAGGAAAACCCAAAACTCAGAGAAAACATTCATGAAAAGAAATGTAAAAATGTAAATGAGATATGAGCATATTTAAATATGCTCTTGCCGGGCTCTCCGAGAAGGCAGAGGAATTGAACTCGGGTCAGGCGTGTGCAAGGCAAACGCCCTACCCGCTGTGCTATCGCTCCAACCCAGAAGACTTTACAGCATTTGCTCTTGGCTGCCTAAGTGTTGATGGTACACACCTTTTCATCTTTAATGTTCTCTATATACTATGCAAATAGCTACTCTCAGGTCAAAACTTCCATTCACTTAAACATTCAATGCACTGCACTGTGCACGGTCCTCCCATTGTTCATCAATTTTGCTCGAGCAGGCGCCAGAAACATCTCACAACAAATTGTGAGACTTGCTGTTCCTGTTTTTGGCATATTGAATACGCCACGGGTAGCTTGCCAGGCTTTGCCATATGGGTGAGATACTCTCGGTAGCTTGCTGGGCTCTCCGAGAGGGGCAGAGGAATTGAACTTGGGTCAGGCGTGTGCAAGGCAAACGCCCTACCTGCTGTGCTATTGCTCCAACCCAAAACAGGTAAATATAATTTCAGAATTTGCAAACACTAAAAAAAATATCTATTGTACTAGTACCAATACATGCAAATTAAGGGGGCTTTTTTTTGTTTGTTTTGGACCACAGTAGTCTATGCTCAGGGCTTACTCCTGGCTCTGGGAGTCACTCCAGGCAGACTTGTGATACCATACGTGGTTCTGAGGATCAAACCCGGGTTGGCTACCTACAAGGCAGTTCTTTTGCCCTCTGTACTATCTCTTGGCCCAAGATATTTTGTTTTGCATACAAAATCAGTAAAGCCTGAGAGATAATACAGCTGGTGTGCACTTGCCTCGCACATGGCTGACCTGGGTTCTATCTCTGGCCCAATAGATTAGGAATGATAGCTGAGCGGAGTCAAGTGGAAGCTCTAAGCACTGCTGGGTGAGCCCAAATTAGTAGTAGTAGTTTTTAAAAAAGAAAAATTCAGTGATGCTTGAGTTAAGAAAGACTGGGTCTTATTCACTAACAAGTTAAGTATAAACTGGTACTAAGAGTTTGAAAACTGAATTTTGTACATCATGACAGTTAAAAACAATTTCTCCCAAATTCCTGCATCCAGTATCTTATCTTAAGAAATTAGAAAAACTTAAAAAACTTTATGCAGAAGAACACTCATTATTGTTTTCCAACAGTTTTAAAAAACAAAATATCCAACAACAAAGAGTTTAGAGGAAGAACAACAACACATTCATTGAATCAAGTATGACACAACAGCCACCAGACATGTTTTCTAAAAATTCATAATAAAAAACTGCACTGTGGCACTGTCCTCCCATTGTTCATCGATTTGCTCGAGTGGGCCCAATAACATCTCCATTGTGAGACTTGTTGTTACTGTGTTTGACATATCGAATACATCATGGGTAGCTTGCCAGGCTTTGCCATGCAGGTGAGATGCTCTCAGTAGCTTGCTGGGCTCTCCAAGAGGGGTGGAGGAATTGAACTCGGGTCAGCCAGGTTGGCCGTGTGCAAGGCAAACACCCTACCCGTTGTGCTAACTAAACAAAAATAAATACCAGAAGACAAGAAAGTAGAACTCAGTATTTTGAAAGTGACTAGAGAATACCCCAAAGGCTTAGGGCTTATAATCATTTGTTATTTTTCTAAGGTATTAGTCTGAAACATGTGCCAAGTGGCTGAATTCTGGAATGAACCACTGGGTTAAAGAGTGAGGTCAAGGAGCAGAGACTGAGGTCAGGCCTGCATCTTTTCTACCATATCCCTCATGCTCATTTTCTCAAAGAAACAACGGGCACTGCTGCAGAAGAAACAGTGGAAGAAGGGATGGCCAACAATTTAAAAGTAGTAGGAATACAGCTAGTTAGCAATGAGTTGAACACCACCATCTAAAGATGGCTGTTTTCTGTACTCCACTATGAAAATCTGAATTTAGTTAAGTATTATGGGAATAATCGTATCCTACAGTTCTATTTGTCAATGGGAGAAATCACAAAAGTCTTAGGAGACATCCCTTCTGGCTGTCATAAGTACATAATGCAAATCAAATGCTAAAATAATTTTGTTTGTGGTATTATCAGCTTTTTTTCTTCTCGCTTATTTGAACGAGAAGCCAGCTTGCCCTTTTTCATTGTGTTTTAATCCTTGGCCACACTAAGCTGTGCACAAGGACCTCTCCTGGCAGTGCTCAAGGGACCATACGTGATGCCAGGGATCAAACTGGGGATGGGTACATGCAAGCACCTTATCCCATACTATCTCTCCAGCTCCTCCTCTTTTTGGATTTTTAATAAAGTTACACAATGGGGATGGGGGTGACTAAAAATTTCTACTACATAGTATTTTCTGCTTTTCTAAAACAAGTAGGGTATGTGTTAGGAATACCCAATCAAAAGAATATGGTGAACAGCTAAGCCCTGTGCCACATCCTTACCTTATAGCACCTATATTTATATAGAACCACCAGGAGAATTGTCATGACAACAATGACACTGATCATGATAATAGCATTCAAAATTGAGTTCAGTGCTCGCTGGCCGACTGTCTCAGTGTCTTCTGTAAATGGGGTATAGATTCTGCAATGAAACAAAACACAATAACCCATGTAAGTTTTAATGAAGATCCTAAACAACATATTTCCTTCCTCCAATACACGAGTTCTGTCTCCTTAATTTAACTGGTATCTTATATGTTTTCCATCCTCAGAAATCAATACTTTTTGTTTTTTTGTGCTTTATCTAGCTGTGCTCAGGGACCACATTTGTAGTGCTTGGGGAACAACATGTAGTGTTATGGATCAGATCTGGGCTGGCCACGGGCAAGGCAAGTACCTTAACTCTTGTATGTCTCTCTGGCCCTGAAGTCAAAATTGTTGACCAATGAAAAGTAACTATATAGAGAGACTTACATGTAAATCAGACATTAGCTCCATCTAGTGGTTGCTTTCTTCACAGCATCAGTGATTTGTTAAAGAACCAGACTCTCACATAAACAATTTGTATGAGGATGGCAACATAGCATATAACTATTCTTTCCTTTGTAAAGCGATTGCAACTAGAGTTGTTGAGATAATATCATATTTATCTCCCTTGTTTCTTATTCACATATTAAACATTTTTATTCAAGGATCAGAACTTTTATTTTTGATTCTTTTACAATATAAGGCAGCTATGGGCGCCAAAAAACATTAAAAAAAAAACCCAATGCAGAGATAGCACAGGAGTTGCCAAGGTAGTTTATGTGAACTTGCCAGTTCCATCCTGGGCACCATCAAGCTACGCTAGGTGCAAGCCTCCAGACCCACAAGCACTACAAGAAGCATGGCCTGGGTAATTCCTGGTACTACAACTGAACACTAATGGAACTCTGGGTCCTTGCATTGAATTGCAGTTCCTTCAGGCAAGGAATTACTGGAAGACTCAAAAAAATTTTAAACACATTAGGGGCAAGTGACAGCACAGTAGGTAAGGTACTTGCCTTACACATGGCCAATTCATGTAAGATCCCTGTTTTCCATATGGTCCCCTGAGCCTTGCTAGGAGTAATTCCTGAGCACAGAGCCAGGAGTAATCCTGAGCACTGCTAAGTACAGCCCAAAATCCAAAACAAAACTGAAAAAGGGATCTTAATGGGGTTATGATCCGTAGATCAAGAAATTAGGGTCTGGCGACTGCCACTTTGCATTAAATTTTCATCCCTTTCTTTTAAGAACTTATTACACACCTAACCCTAGAAACAAAGTGTCCCCATAGCACTGCAATATATAAGGACATCAGGCCTTAAATTATGCAAATAAACACAGCTGCATATTGTGAGGAGTGGAAAAAAACAAGTTTTGATAAAAAAGAATACCACGAAAGATCAAGTTGCTATGAGAATCAGAGAAATTATCTCTGAAGCCAAGATGAGAAAGATGATACGAAATTAATTAATCCTCCAAAGTCTTCAAGGAAAGAACATTCCTAGAGGAAGAACAATCAACCAATGCTCATACCCAACTCACAAAAAAATTCAGTAACAAGTAACAATACACAGGAAATATAATTTTGTTAGTTTTATATTCTCTACCTAAAGCACCATGCAATCAAAACCTTCCTTCTCTCAATTGCTCCTGGTTGTCAGAGAAGATGAACTCTCCAGTTTCCTTGCCCCTTCAGTAGAGGCCATCCAGCTGACAAGGATACCAGGGTATGTATGAAGAAAAGAAACAGTGCCCTTGAGAAACATCAAACACTCAATACGTACAGCTGTCCATCCTTCCGGGTATAAAAGCTGACAGATTTGATAGTAGCCACAACCACCACCATACAAAGAGTCACGGGGACAAAGAGCATGATCACATGCTTGGCGCCATATTTTAATGTCAGCTCCTCATCATCTTCTTCCTCTTGTTCCAATGCCTGCTGGCCACCACCCTGGGGTCGCCCATTAGAGACTGATTCAGGGTTGCTGCGCCTCCGCCTCTGCTGCTGTCTCTGCTCCTGCTGGTCCCTGCTGTCACCCTGAAAAGGAAGAAAAACTATTTCAGAAAGTCAGGCTTTTCAGAATTACCAAGGCATTCTACATTAAAAACAGAAAACAATTAGATCTGGGGTCAATTAACAATAAGCCCATCAGTAACTGAGTTCTAAGAAGCCGAGTTATGAAAGAACCAACTGATCAGAAAAGCTTTGATATCAACTGCTGGTCTACGGACAGTGCTTGGACAAGTGCCCGTAACTGGTCTGCGGACAGTGATTGGACAGATGTCGGCCCTCAAGTGTCCATAGGCTGAAACCACTGGTTAGGCTATTGACGATGGATCATGGAAGGAATATAAGTCTCCCTGGCTTGGATACAACCAAACTCCTTCTCTGAGGTCTGGCTTAAAAACTGCTATCTGCATGAAACTTTTATTTGCTACAGCTGCAAATAATCTCAATTTTTAAAAGATTCATGAGGAACTTTCAAACTGTGGGTCAGTTATACAAGGGACCCTCTTCTCTCCCTTATTAAGACTTAAAGTACTGTAATGCCATATCAGTACTTAAAGTACTGTAATGCCAATCTCTTTTAATGTCTTACAATTGCACATTATGATCCCAGTTACCTAACAAAACATTCAATGAAAAAATCTATTTGGTCGTTTCCCTCCCCCCCAGTTTTTGGGTCATACTCATTGGCACTAGGTTTTCATGTGGTGCCTGCTGGGACCAGAAGCCAGGGTTCCCATATGCAAAACATGAACTCCAGCCATCTGAGCTATCTACCTGGCAACTCAGCTTAAAAATCTTTACGGGGCAAGAGCTAGTATAGCACGTAGGATGTCTGCCTTCCGTTAGCCAAACTGGGTTCCATCTCTGGCATACCATATTATCCCCCAAGCACTGCCAAGAGTAACCAGCCCCTGAGAATTAATGGGTGTGGCCCCAAAACAAAATCTTTACAGAGGGACAGAAAGACAGTACAGAGATAAAGGTATGCAAGGTAAAGCCTTGTACATAGCCCTGGCTGTAGCCATAACAACGATTCAATCCCAGCACCATGATCCCACAAGCTCGCCTATGGTATGGTCCTTGAGCACAGTGGAAAACGGCCCCTCAAACAAAATTAAAAAAAAAAATTTACGGAGAGTTGTCAATGCCCCTTTCTCTAAGCATTCTCACCTGACCTGTAAAATGTAAGGAACTAGAGGTCGAAGAGATACTACAGGGACTAAGGCACTAACTTGCCTTTGCATGTGGTCAATCCCAGTTCAGTCCCCAGCACTGCATATGTATCCTTGAGTGACGGCTTAGCAGAGTCAGGAGTAGCCCTTGAACACCACTGACTGTGACCAAAAAACTCAAAACAAGCCCATGTATTAGTCCCTTACTAATACATACTTACGGGACTAATGCATACTTGAAGAATGACAAAGAAAATAAGAATGACAAAGAAAATAAGAACTGTTGGATTCGTAACTATTTAACCCAAATATAATTTTGTTACCTTTATTCTTATTCTGGAGTTTCTTTTCCTAGTCATCAAGCTTAATTTATTTTTAGTATCCCTCTCGTGTCTAAAATTCAAGTTTTATAAAGGGTAGGGTAAGTCCCAAGAACAGTAATATTAATAAAAAAAAAAATTAGAACTATAGTAAAATAGCAGGCACTTCTTCAATAATGAAATAAAACAGGAGATGAACACAGATAGTGCTGCTGGTTAAACAATCAGTTTGGAAATGAAAGGGTTTGCTTAGGAACATTATATGAGAAGAGAGGACACAACTCATTGTTTTGTTTTGGTACCACACCCGGGTATGGGATGCTGGAGATCAAATCCAGGTTGATCGTGCACAACCCAAGTGCTCTACCCACTATACTACTATACTCCAGCCAAGACACAACTCTTTTTTTGTTTTTTTCAAAACACAACTCTTATACCTCACTTTTACTATAGTGCACAACAAAGTATTCCTAAAATTATTATTCATTAAAATACATGATGGAGGCTGGAGTGATAGTACAGCGGGTAGGGCATTTGCCTTGATTTGATCCTTGACATACCATATGGTCCCTGAGCATTGCCAAGAGTAATTCCTGAATGTAGGAACAGGAATAAACCCTGAGTATCACTGGATGTGATTCCCCCCTCCACCACACACACACACACACTCACACACACATTAAACAAATACATGACACACAGAGCCAGAGAAGGAGTATAGCTGATAAAGTGCTTCCCTTGCATGCAGCTGACCCAGGTTCAATCCCCAGTATCTCATATGGCCTCCCAAGCCTGCCAGGAGTGATTCCTGAATGCACAGCAAGAAATAACCCACGAGCACTACTGGGTGTGGTCCAAAATCAAAACATAAAAATATGTGACAAACTTACAGCTTAAAATGCATCAAGTTTGTGATAAGATGCTTTACATTTAATTCTTACAGCTGCTCAAATCATCACTTTACAAGCGAGGGAATTGCTACCACTAGCAAATGTGGGTAAAGGTTTCAACCCAGAGCAACTATAGAAACTATAGAAACCAGTCTTCTTCTTTGTCTGGGGTGGGGATGGTTATTGAATCCAGGGTCTCACACATGCAAGGCCAATGCTCTCCACCGAGCATTTTCTATAGGCCAGGGAGACAGCTGAAGGGAAATCATTTATGCTTTGCATGCAGAGGCCACAGTTCTATACCTGGAACTGAACCACACAGTTTTTTGAAAACCACTGGATGTGGCTCATAAAGAAACAAACAAAAATTTTCTATATTCCAAATGCTCAACAGTGGCAATACTGAAACCAGTGAGACCTAGAGCCTATCCTTAAGAACTCCTTCAGTTAGATTTGGTTAGGGTTCCCCTGACACACACAATCAGCAGTGCTGGGGGTTATTTGTAGCTGATTGCTGGGATATTACTCCTGACAGTACTTGGGGGGGCCATGTGTTGTTGGTGATAGAAGCTGGGCCTCCAGCATGCAAAATATGTCCACAGGCCTCTAAGCCACTTCCCCCAGCCCAAGTTTTAATATAGGATAAACATTACATAAGAGATACAAGTAAGCTACTGCTGACTGATTCAATGAGATCAAGAAGAGCAATATAGTGTAGAAGAGGTAATTCTTGAATGGCCTGTGAGAGTGAATGGACTGATTCCAGGCGGAGATCTTCCATGAGGCAGAGAGACCTATGTAGATGACCGTGAGTCTGGCTGAAGCAGCTGCAGAACAAGATTTGCCAGGGCTGCAGGCAGGGAAAGATTAGGAATAGGTTGTAAAAATCACTGTCGGCAAGAGAGAGTTCAAGGAACTAGATTGCCTGCTTTGCATGCAGGAGGCCCAGGCTCAATCCCTGGCACGTGGTCCCCCAAGTACAGCCAGGAGTGACCCTGACAACCAAGCTGGGAGTAGCTCCAGAGCAGTAACTGGGTGAGGCTCCAAAACAAACAAAACACATTGAAAAGGACTTTGTTTGCCACGTTGAGGACTTCAGACTTAGTCCTGCAGGCAATACAAAGTCATAAAAAATGACTTTAAGGCTGGGAAAATGACATGAATAAATGATTACGCTTCAGAGTTAAGAAACCCAATGGAAAAACACAATAAAGAAACCTGAGCGGGCAGAGAGTGCAGGGTTAAGACAACTTGTCTTAATAAGACTGACCCTTGTTCAGACCCCCAGCAACACAGAGTTCCCCAAGCAGCAGCACCACCAGGAGCAACCTGAAGCACCCAGTTCACTGCCTAGGATGGCACCAGCTGCTCCCCTGCCCCTCAAATAAACTCGTCTTCTGAGTGGTGAGGAAAAACAGAAGGCATATTAGTAAGATGTAAGGCCCAGAGAGATAGTACAACAATTAAGGTGTTTGCCTTGTTTGGGGCTCAACCTGGTTCAATCCCTGGCACCACATATGGTCCCTCTAAACACCATCAGGAGCCAACTATGAGATAAGAGCCAAGAGTAACCTCTGAGCATTGCCAGGTATGGCTCCCCAAACTGAACCTCCTCCTCTCAACCACCACCACCAACAAAAAAGATATTTCTGAAGTGAAACTCATAGGGCTTTGTGACAAATTCCATGGGTCAAGTATGACTATAGGCTTTTTACATAAGGCCTTGGAGGGTGGTGATGATTTCGATAGGAAACATTAAAAGATTTAAAAAAAACATAAAAACAAAAGTAGGAAACCTGAAAAGGAAGTGAATGCAAAGTGCCTGCAATCAAACAGGGCAAGTAGTTAGTTGCAGTAAGAATTTCACGCTCAGGGGCTGGAGCAATAGCACAGCAGGTAGGGTGTTTGCCTTGCACGCATCTGACCTGGGTTCGATTCCCAGCATCCCATATGGTACCCCAAGCATCGCCAGGAGTAATTCCTGAGTGCAGAGCCAGGAGTAACCCCGAGCATTGCTAGGTGGGACCCAAAAAGCAAAAAAAATAACAAAAACAAAAACAAACAAACAAAAAAAAAACAAGAATTTCATGCTCAGGCAGGAGAGATAGCTCAAAGGGGTTGTGCATATATGTGTTACATGCAGGAGGACCAGGTTAGATTTTCAACACTACATGGTTTCTTGAGCACAACTGTTAAGTGACCCATAAGTCACCAGGAGTACTCCCTGGACTCTGTCAGGTAATGCCCAAAGGAGGTAAAATTCACATTTGGATTAGGAAAAAAGGTAGTAATATATTTCTATAGCAATGAAAATGAATGAGTTCTCAAGAAGACAGTATAGATGGAAACTAGCAATAGCAGACTCACTGATATTAATAAATAAGAAAGGGGCTGGACGACTGGTACAGCCTTTCTGGAAAACAATATGGACGTTTCTCAATAAACTAGAACTAAGCTCCCATTTGACCCAGCAATACCACTTCTGGGAATATACCCTGGGGGCCCAAAAACACACAGCAGATAACACCACCTGCATTCCTAAATTCATTGCAGCATTATTCACCATAGCCAGAATCTGGAAACAACCTGAGCGCCTAAGAACAGACAAATGGATAAAGAAACTATGGCACATGTACATAATGGAA